AAATAAGCTGTTAAATTTATAGCTTATAAAGTTTAAACATTAGATAGTTTCATAAAAAAAACTTCTTAATCCTTGTAAAAAAAACATAATATATAATTGCGCAGTTGATGAGTTTTAAATGTTGAAAAAAAAATTGAAACCATTACTTTTCTTAAGTTAACAAGAAAAATAGTTATTTTTTGGCTTAAATATTAAAAATAATGCCGTTGAGAAATAGAAGAAATCCAACACAATTGAAATTTGAATAAATGTATTAAAAAAAAATTTGACCATAACAGCGGTTTTCTGGAAACGTCAGCAAACCCAGCACTAGCAAGAGTTAACTTCTTTTGCTCTCTTTTTAGTTTTGATTTTTCTTAAGAAAGTTCTTCATCTTACCATTTGGTTTCTAAAGACTCCTCCAAAAACTGTTTAAATTTTTAAGCGTGAGAAATTTGTTATCTTTCCCGCTCATTTCCGTTTTCGAAGAATCCTGAGTCAGAAGATGAAGCGGCAATAGGAAGAGAAAAGTAACAATAATGAGGAACCCAAAGTTATCAAAACTAAAAAATTGGAGAAATTCGCCACTTTCATGTCGCTCAGCAAGAAGAGATCGGTTCAGATACTAATGGTGGTCGGTGTATTGTACATACCTCTGGTCACGCTCGAAATCCCCGTCGTTTATAGAACCGGGTTTAATACCTTATCGCAGGATCCGTTAACCCAACCCGAGAAGATCGGTAGCGAGTGGGATCTACAAGAGAGACGAGCTCCAGAACGTTCTTTCAAGAGCTTGATCAACCAAGAAACTGAATCGGAAGCGCCTGCTCGTGCTCTGGTTGCAGAACAGAGAAGAACGGCGCAGATCATAGCCAGGTTGAAATTTGACCTGGAAATGTTCGACCCGAGTAGCAAAGACGAGTCCTTGGAGCTTCATGAACCGCCAAAGTAGCTTGGGAAGTTGGTAGAAAGCTATAGGAAAGCTAGAATCTGGAAAAACCTTAAAAGCCTTGAATGAAGAGAAGAAGAAGACTGAGAAAGATGGCTCGAGGTCGTTCCCAGTCTCAGTTTCCTTATCCGGGTCGGATCTTTTGGCCCGTGGGAGCGTCATTGAGCTTCCCTGTGGATTAGCGCTGGAATCACACATCATGGTGGTGGCAAACCCACTTGCTGCACAAGCAGAGAATGACCCAAAGATATCAATTTTGAATGAAGAAGGTGAAGCTCTGAATGTTTCACAGTTCATGCTGGAGTTGCAAGGCTTGAAGGCAGTGGAAGGGGGAGATCCTCCAAGAATTCTTCACTTCAATCCAAGGCTTAAGAGTGATTGGAGTGGTAAGCCTGTGATTGAGCAGAACACTTGTTATAGGATGCAATGGAGCTTGTCTCAGCGATGTGAAGGCTGGAGATCTAGTGATGACGAAGAAACAGGTGAGTCAAAAGCATTTTGACTTCTATGTGCTGTCTTGCTTACTTAGTTTTTGGAGTTGCTTGTGTTATAGACAAACAACCAGAGTGTGATCTTAGATTTTAGTTGATGGTCAGGTTAAGTGCGAAAAGTGGGTTCAAAAATATAACACTTCTTCTAAAGAAGAGACTAAAAAGACAAACATGGTGCCTGAGTAGATTCATACACCGGAGTAAGAAAGTAACTGTAGAATGGCTATTTCCATTCACTGAGGACAAGCTCTTCGTGCTTACACTAAGTGCTGGATTGGAGGATTATCATGTTAGTGTTGATGGGAAGCATGTCACATCTTTGAGACAAGTCGTTTTTGGTCTTTTAGATTAGATTTGAGAGCGATATGTCCTTAAATCCGATTGATGTGGAACTTTGGTATATGCATAGCACACAAATAATTCAATCAATGTGGAGCTAAAGAAGGAAGCAGAATTCTTTGGAGACATAATTGTAGTGCCTTACATGGACAGCTATGACCTGGTTATCCTGAAAACTGTTGCAATCTTTGAGTACGGGTGAGTTTTTTAAATTCTAAGAAACAACAAACTTAACAATATATCTTTCATGGTTCATGACTTCATGGTAAAGGAATTGTTCTTTTTTTTGCTTGCAGGCTCATCAATTGGATGCCAAGTATATCATGAAGTGTGATGATGACACATTTGTCCGGGTAGATGCGGTTCTTAGTGAAGCAAAGAAAAGACCCATGAATCGAAGCTTGTACATTGGCAACATCAATTACTATCACAAGCCTCTTTGCCAAAGGGAAATGGACTGTTTCATATGAGGTAATAAAGAACAGGAAAAAGACAAGCATTCTGTATTAGTATTTACTCAATTTTGTTCAACTGATTCTCCAGGAATGGCAAGAGGAAGATTATCCACCTTATGCCAATGGTCATGGCTACATATTATCAACAGATATACCTCTCTTCATCGTAAAGGAGTTTGAGCAACACAAACTAAGGGTAATTGATCAATCTTCATTTAGAAAAGAATATCAAAGACGAGAAGATACTTTGGCTATGTAATGTGTAATATATATCATCTTCTTTCTGTTCCAGTTATTCAAAATGGAAGACGTGAGCGTGGGAATGTGGTTTGAACAGTTCAACAACGGCGGGAAACCTGTGAATTATGTGCACAGCCTTAACTTCTGTCAGTTTGGTTGCATAAAGAATTACTTAACAGCGCATTACCAATCGCCTAGACAGATGATGCTTGTGGGAGAAATTGGTCTTGACGGGAAAACCTCATTGCTGCAACATGAGATGACACAACGGTACAGTTTCCTGTTCTGTTTATGTTGGCTGTGAGAAAAGAAAAATAGATTTCTGATGAGAATATCAAACATAAGTCTTTGCTGTATATATGTAACCATGTAAATCTTCACCTTCGAACAGACCAATGGATCCTTGTTGAATCATTTTTTTTTTGATGATCTTTCATCCTCCTCGCCGTTTTTTGGTTGTGAGGGTGGCTATAAAGAAACACAAGAAAACGATCTAAATCATAAGGAAGCCAGCGACATCTTATCTTAACCGTCAGTACTAATAGAACTAGATAAGTAAATAATTCACCTGAACATAACAGAGGTTGCAGTTTCCCCCTGTTCCCTCATATTCCTGAAAAAAAAAAACGCAAGAGATAGAAGAATAAGATGACACTTAATTACAAAAATGTTACTCCTGATAAGAAACCAAAAAGAATTCAAGACTAGATCAACCAACGAAATACCTTCCTCTTCTTCAAACCATCTGCAGCGTATTTTTAAGTTGTCTCTTTTTATGTTTTTGTGCTTTGTCCAAAGCACCTTCAGCCTCTATACAAAACCAATTAGCACCTCTGTGTTCCATATTATTGAACTATCAATCTAAGCTACAAACCAGAAATGTAAGTTTCATGGGAGCCAAGAGATATTCACAGAACTCATGACCAACAACTTCCAGCTTAAGCTACAAGAGAGAAACTTCACCAACAAAATACAATGATGAATGATACACTCGAGCCTTTCTATGAAATTGTATCGACTTGAAGTACTGATAAACCTCCATAGCATGTTATTATAAACAAGAGCTAGAGAATGGGTACCAGGTACGCAATAAACGCTCATACACTTGGTCACCCTTCAAGATTCCGAGAAAAGAAAATATTGTGGTAAACAATTTAATAACTGAAGTATGCTCATTGGGAATCAGAGAAAAATGTAAATGAGCTCCACATTGTAAGAACATTGAAGTATGCCCATCAGGCACATTTGTGCTTTTAAGTAAACAGTTAAAACTCATACTTAGCCCATAAGGGACAAAGCTGTAACGGCTCCGTTCTCTCTCCGATGCCTTTTTTTTCTTTAATTACCGTCGAGCTGAAATTTCTCAGTTACAAAATTGGTGTGATCCGACAATTAACCAAAAAGAATCACCAGATTCTCTTACATATTTAACTCAGAAGATTGGTGTCTGAATCTGCTTATTTACTAAAAAACTTAGTTACTTATGTGTTTGCTGAGAGAATTTAACAGCATTGTAAAGAGCAGAGCCGTGCTTACGTAAATAGTTGCCAGAGACATGACAATAACATAGTTTTTTTTTAATTTTTAATGTTAATATTTACAATCTATTTTAGAGAGATCCAATTATGAGAATTTATTGGATTGCACAAATTTTGAATCATTTTAGAAAACATATCAATAAAAATAAAATGTTCCAAATACATTTGTATCAAATTTATAAATGTCTTACAATAATGGATATCAAAATATGAAAATGTGTTAATAAAAATTAATATTATTTAACAAAATAAATAAAGAAACAAAAACATTAATTTAGTTCTAAAACCTAATATTCTTAGTTTCTTATATTGTTTGGTGATATCTATAAGTTTAGACATAATTTTATAATATTTGCATTTCTAATTTGGACAAAATTTCAATAGAAATGAATAAAAATTAAGTAAAAAAAATACAAAAATATCAAAACTCAATGAATTTGGTAAACATTAAAAAAAAAAGATAAACTTACAAAAAGAATAAACTCAAGAAACTGTTTATCCTGATATTGCAATGTTTTATTTTGTTGTATTTACTTTTTCTATTAATTATCTTCTATGTTATTTTCTTTATTTTTGTTTTCACTCGAAGAAATCTAACTAATAATATTGAATCTCTTAAAAATTAATTAAAAAACTAAAAACAAATATGTATGTGTAAATCTTGCAAAGAAAAGGTTTCTAAGTTTTTCTAAAAAATTGAGGGCCAAAACCCATATTTCTTATATTTTATAAGAGATGGTTTGTATTTGTTGATGGCTTTGCATCATTTGTCGTTTGGTTTACGTTTTCTCAGCTTTCTTGGTTTATTAGCCATCATTCCTATCTTGGTGATCACTTTCTCAATCATCTCTGAGATAATCTACGTATCATATAGTTATCATTCTTCAATCTAGCCACACAGTGAGATCCTATATTTACTCTGTCAAGTTGGTTGGTTATATGAATCTATGAGACTATGATAAAGAAGCTTCAAGAAAGGAACAGTCTTTGCCTCGCTTGTGGTTGTTTGAAAACCATATTGTTATTATCAGAAAAGATTGTTTGATTCCGGAAGATGTATATACACTCAGCCTTGTGTATAAGCATATGGACAGTGTGATCTACACAAGAATTCAAAAAACTTGGAACAAATAAAGCTTGGTCTACTTGAAATAGAGCGGGACAAGTTTCTTCAAGGTTTCAAACACACTTGTGAAGGGATCAAACTGGACTGACTTTCTTAATCCAAGATCTGGAAACTGGTTTGTCAGAGTTTGCTCCATACCTGGCATGGACATCATCGCAGCTAGCTGACCATCAGACATCACTTCACAGTCCTGTGGAGTATCCTTGATTTTCTCCGGGTCATAGCCAAACTGTGCCAAATAGTTTTTGTACTTGGCGATAAACTCAGGTCCTGGGTTAGGTGTTCTTGAGTATACCTGACATATCAAAAAACCCCATGAAGCTAATATAACAGAGTCAAAACAGATAGTCAAACCAGTTCATTTAGTTCTGTATTGTGAATCACCTGAACAAAGCCCTTGTCTTTGGCTCCAGAGACAAGAGCATAGTTGTCGTAGTCAGTGGCTATGACATCATAAGGCAACTTGGGAATGAAAGGAATTGTGGGAAATCGAAGGAAACACTTTTCTTTGATCATCTCTCGCTTTTCTAAGTCAGTCTCACTTTTCTCCAAATCTTCATCTGCCACGCATTGAACCTTCCCTCTGATTCCTGTTATATACCCATCAGGGCTTCCATGAACACAAAACGTATCTACCCTTATGGCTGGTTCTTTCATATCAAACGTGTATACGCCCTGCAACGGCCCAAGAAACAAATAAACTCAAGAACGTTTTCATTACTTGTTATTCTCACACTGATTATATACTTGCAAAAGATGGACAATCTGGTAATGTCTATAGTTGAAGAAACACATACATACCTGAGTACAATGGCAGTCTTCTTGGCCTTGACCGGCAAAACCGCGCTTAAGAGAAGCGACTTCAAACCATCTTCCAGAGTACTTAACTGGGTCAAAGTTCTTAGCTGTCATGCCTCTCGTCATCATCATCATCATCGTTTCCGGGTCACCATTTACAAGTGGAAGAGTCAGATTCTTTTCTTCCACAGAAGCATTCCCTAGTTGGCAAATGTTTTGATGACCAGATGAGAGATCCAACGCAACACCCTGCCAAAAATACAAGTAAAACTCAGAAAATCTAAACCCTCTTTTGGATACAATTGAACATGCTTATCACAATATTGTGTCAGTTCTAGCATACCTGGCCTGCCTGAGAGAGGAGCAAAATGGTTGCAAACTCTGAAACAAAACGGTTTCTCAAAGACTTGCTTTGAATGGGATTCTCTAAGGAACATTTTAACTCAAGATTCTTAAGAAACCCTGTGGAAGAACAGCAGCATCTGATTGTGTCAGGCAAATGAGATCTCTTGTCGATCCTAACCAAGGAGCATCTTCTATTTTCATAAGGAAACAGAAATCTAAGATCAGTAAACTCCATAATTCGAGACATTTTCATTCCAGGATCTGATTTCTTGTAACTATGTCCTAAAACCTAACTAAATGTTATACATTGATGATACTGAAATTGATCGGAGCTAATGAAATTGATCGGGGTATTGTATTTTTTTGGTAATTTTAACTGAACACATCTAAATTACAATGGGAAATTAGCTTATTGTAGATTTTGATCGCTTGAATAGATACAATTCAACAATCAAACATCTAAGATAAGCAAAATTCTGACTTAAAATTTTTTTTTTTTTTGGACTTTTAGATATGAAAAAGATACAAACACAAAACCAAAAGCAAAACTAAACCAGATCAAAGTAAAGAACTAGTTGTGATTCTAAAATAGTATAAAGCTCTACCTTGTAGTAGCAGGTGGAGAGAAGCTTTGGGAAGAAACTGGAATACTTACCATTCTCTCTGAGATTCAGTGAGCGACAGATTTTTTTGTTTTTTTTTGTTTTTTAGATATTTTTCTTTGCCACCGCTTTAATATGTCCAAAGAACGTTGTTGTTTATCACAAAAATCTAGTCCAATGGAACCCAATTAGGACCCACATAAAAAATCTCTCCAATCACATTTCGGTCGAATGATCCACTAGAAATATTCTCGGCTTCACAATAAACAAATTACCAGTGTTTTTTTTTTTGATAAAGGGTATTCATTTTTTTATCAATTAAAATGCAAACAAAATAATACAAGCTATGACAATTAAGTCATACAGTTTTACAAGTAAAAACATAGTGAAGGAGATTTAAGCAAGAGCTTAATCTAGTTTTGGAAGTAAAGATAATGAAAGAAAAAGTTTCTTTGAGATAAACCCATATACTAGTATTATTATTATTGATTAGATGAATACCCGCGTAGATACGCGGGTTTTTTTGTATAAAATATATATGTTTATGAATATATATTTGTAATCTGATAAATTGGTGATTTATCATCCTAATATACAAATTTGAAAATTTTGTTAAAATAAATATTTTCTTCAGATATTTGGTTATTACAGTATTTAACCTACATCAATATCACATGAGTTACATAATCAAATTAAAAAATATACCATATTTTTGATGATATTAAACTTTTTACTAATTCGTTTGTCTTAAAGCAAACTAATCTAATTTTGTTTGATATTGGTTATTTTATGATTCAGCACTCAAATCATTATGTACTTGGTTTTGTTTGTTCTATTTGCCAACCACTTTGTTGTATTTTATTTTTGGCTATAAACATCGGAACATATATCCTACATAAAAATTTACCAAATTGTATAAATAGTCTTAACATGGATGAATTGTTTCTTTTACATTTTCTATAAAAATATTGGATAAATTTACATTATGAAACTCTTATTTGTCTTGTTTTTTGTTTGTTGGTGACATTCAAAAAAATGTGATGTATAATATGTTATATATTTTGTGTTTTGGTTTACTTTCAATTGTTCAGACTTCAGAGGTAAGATACTACAATAGTTTAATTTAATTCACCATCTTCATTACAAAATACACCCAGATAACCTATCACACAGATCCAAAATTTAAAAGAATTATTATTCCATGTATATTGTTAACTGTGGACAAATTACAAACATCAAGTTAAGAATCAAAATGTAATTCATTAGAAAAAACTCTTTGCCTGATTATTTCTCATAAAATTCTACATTGAATACATATTTCTATCAAGTAACATTTAGATTTTGTGATCCTATCAAATAAATATGCTATTTTAAAATAATTATTTTAGACTCCCTAGCATCTTTCTTTAGCAAACATTACTTCATCTTGACAACTTACATCTCCAGCAACTTTCATATTCGCCACTAACTCTTCATGCGTCTTCAATTGTGCAGCTTTTCTTAATGGAGCAAAACCATCTCAGATAAAGACAATATCGGTCTCAAACAATTATCTTCAACCATTTCTGTAAAGAACTTGTAAGCATTATTCCAATGCTCCATCCCACAAAACACTCTCTCTGTCTCGGAGAATTTTAGGCACCACAACCAAATTAGTGTAAATTGTAACATCTGGTTCGAATTTATCATTCAAGCCATTGAAACGTTAGCTCTTTTTTTCCTAGAGAGGATGCTAACGAATATGCAAAACACAATTTTATCAGGAACACATATGTAATCTTCCATTCAGTTAAAGTAATGTATTACCTCCCTGAAGGTAATCTCTCTAACGTAATGTCTACTCAAAACCGTGAAGGTCTCCATCAAAATCTCTACGATGAGACGATTAGATTCATAGTTTATTTTGTTTTAAGGATGAGACGATTTCTGGTCGTAGTCGTTAGTTAAAAAAAGCTATAAATTGTAGATGAGGGATTCTATGGCGGACGCCACTGCACTTCTATATCACGCATCACAAAAACGGAGGGGAGATTTGTGAGACGTTGGCGGCAGAAACTTGGGAGGTTTTGAGGGAGAGAGAAGGGAAGGTGAAAGCTAGGGTTTATCATTGGGGTTAGTACAGCTTTTGCGGTAATGATCTTTCATATGCAATGAAACTTTTTTATAGTGTGCGTATATTTAGGAGTTAACAAAGGTAAGACAGAGAAGACGCGATGGCGGTAGGGGATTCGTCCTTTTCATGGTCATAGGGCAAAGGAGTTTCGAGGTGGTTAATGGTTTATTAGAAAAGATACAATAAAGTAATGTGAATTAAATATTTGAATGGTGAAGTTGGAACGATTTGTAATTAATATTCTGATTAATTAAAAAGGGAATAAAATAAATCGAAATAGAATTAAGAATAGAAATATTGAAAATATCAATTAATTTGGCTGATGTGTCAAGCTGATGTAGCAAAAGATGGAGTGCTTATGTGTCAAGCTGTAAGACTCAACTGAGTCTTTATATAATAGATTATAAAATTCTATTTTTCTACAAAATTAATCTATTTTTTATTTTTGATAATATTAAATTTCATCCAAATTTGTAAAAATATAGTCATTAAATGTGATTTTTTGTTTTAATATAATTTATTAATAGACATTTTTTTATAAGTTTAATCTATTTTTTGTATTTGGTAATATGAATATCATATGAACTCGTAAAACTGTAGTCAATATTTTTTGTAGATGTAATATTTTTTATTTTTGCACCTAACCAAATATATCTTCGTTATTATTTTTCTCAACCTGGTTTTTTCTTTGTTAGTTAATTTTTAATGATAAAAATATGTATTTTATAAGACAAATTTAATATCTTCGTCAAATCGTATTTTGCTTTCTGCCTGAGACTTCAAGTCTCAACCCTTTATCCCGGTGATAAGGTTGTCATCGGTGGATATGCCTTTATACAAAGAAAATGGATCAATGTCTATGTAAACAAAACCAGAATGAATTCAATACAAGAAATATAATACAGTTTTCAAAAACCCATAAATCAAAGAGGAGACGAAGAATAAAAAAATTTACCTATTGACTTGTGGAATTTTGAGTCGATATTAGAAAGCATTGGAGATTGTTTGAGATTCCATCTTTCCAATTTCCAAAATAAAATTTAATTTGCAGTTTATTATGAACCATAAATTGATATGTACTTCTCTTTCGGTTTTTGTGTTCAATTAAAAATGAAATTAGTATAATTTAACTGTTTAATTTTCTCATAATGTTTTATAATCTGATGTGTTAAAAAAATGAATGCTGATGTGTCAAGCTTGTGAGACTCAACAGAGTCTTTATATAATAGATACTAGACTTGTACCTGCGCATACGCGCGGGTTTTGTTTACATAATATTTATAAAAATATGTTTGTGCTGATATATATATATATATATATAATTATAAGAATATGGTAATTTGTTTGATTGGTTAGTATTAGTTTTTTTAAAAATAAAATCTTTATAAAACAAATAACTTTTTTTTTAAGGATTGGAAGTAGTGTAAGTAAGAAAATTATTCTACTATTCTAAAAATCATAAACAGAGTAAAAAATACGTAGATAAAAGCCATATTTGTTTGGTTGAATTGCTTGAAAACATATAAGTACCTCTGATTTTTAATGTTCTCATATTTATGACATCCACAATTGCCATGATTTTGCAAAAACCACCCCATACTTCATGTTTCACAATAAAATGCAGCTATAATAATATGATATTTGACCCATAAAAACCGCCAAATCTTTGAATATAGAGAATGCTACATCTGTACATTCTTTCATACAACAAGCTTCGAAAAAGGTGTTGATGATGAGGATAAACCGGAAGAAAAAATATCAAGTTAGTACAAAAAATATTAAAAAATTTTAGACAAATACCAAAAGATTAGAAATGTTGTTTAATTATTTTTGTTAGGAATGTGGAAAGCCTTAATTTTTATGTAACTTAATAGTTATGAACATAAATACATATGAAATAAACATTAAATAGAAAAGTTAAGTTAGAAGTAATGGTATTAATTAGTTTTTAATTTTTTATTTTAAAATTTATTATTTATTAATTGGATTAAAGGAGATGTGTCCTCCATTCAGATGCTGATGTGGCAGCAGGATGGAGAGAGTTTACCTAAAATCATATATATGATTTACCTCTATATACATGAACTACTTCATAAAATTGTTGGGTTATTTCTTTGAGATAAGCCCATATACTAGTATTATTATTATTGATATTTATTTTTATGGATGTTCATAAATAGAAATGGAAAATTAAAAAAAATAAAATCTTATAGTAATAAAAGTTGAAGCTAAATGCTTCTCAAGGCGTCCACATAGTATTTAAAAGGGCAATTTAATTGGTCCACATCATTATTCAAAATTAAGAAAATTTACAAATTTTAATATTATTGTTAAATAAGGAAATTAAGAAAGTTTAATATTAAAATAACATGGCATCTAACGGAGATTTAACAACCCAACATGAACCACAAAAGTAACAATTAGCTGACCAAGCAATATCCGAATATATTTGGTAAGTCTCAAAACAAGGAGGCGAGACCAAATCACTTCCCGCAATGGGCCTCGTGTGGGATCTTCCAGCTTTGATTTCTAAATCTATTAATAAAAAAAGTTAAGGTTATATGTCTCTAAAAGTGTCCACATACGATTTAAAAGTTCAATTTTATTGGTTCACATCAATATTTAAAATTAAAAAATTCCAAATTTTTATAATTATATCGTTAACAAAATATATTTATAGAAATATTTTTAAAATAATATTGTTAACAAAATTTTCTATTATTAATAACAGTTAAAGCTATATTATTTTCAAAGCATCCACATCAGCATTTAAAATTCAATTTTATTTGTATATATCAAAATTGTAAATTAAAAAAAGTTTCCTAATTCTAATATTATTGTTAAGAAAATAAATTAAAAACTAAAGAAATTTCTATTAACAAAAAACAACATGATATTAAAATCTTCAATATCACTGTTTAAGTTAAAATTTTAATTTGTTATCTATAATAAAAATATATCCTACTTATACAAGATTAAGTTACTTGATTTTAAAGTTTTTCACGTAAAATTTTAAATAATTAATAACTAAAATTTATATTCATCTAAATTCTTGTTACATATGCAAAACATGTTTGCAGATAACCTCATGTAATATATTATGCGAGAAAAAATAAAAAAAAAGTACATTTTGTATATTCGATTTGGAATTGCAGTAGATTAATAGAAATTCTTAGTTTTTAGTTTTTTAATTTGTTATTTATTTTCTATATTTGTATGTATTAAATTGTATCGGTTTTACCTACTTAATTATAATTAGAAAAAGTGAGAATGAATATAATGAAACTGAATATAATCATACAAAAATCATTAAAATATATAAATAAGATTGAAAAAACATATATAACAAGAATAAAAATGAACATGATGAAAATTTTTTTTCATTCTTATTAGAAGAGATGATGTATAATCATTGAAAAATTATTTCAAATGTAACTCAACCAATTGACAAAAAAAATATTAAATTCACATATTTTGTGTAATTTTATTCATATCATATTCAACTATTATTTGGTTTCAAAACTAAAGTTGTTAATCTCAGAGTAAATATTTTATTTATTAGTTTTTTTAAACTAATAAATCAAAATAAAATTTTGTATTGTTAAAAAAGAGCAGAAAAAGATTAAATTTTCATTTTATTTTTATAAAATAACACATATATAATTGATATAAAAGTGAAAATGATGAAAAAATAATTTTTTCTTCTTGATTTAAAGAAGTGAATGTATAATATTTTATCATCATATCAATATTATTTTTAAAAAGTGGCATTTGATTAATTTGTAAAATTTTTAGGTAGCTTGAGTATATTAACTTATTGATAAAATAACACATTTTTGAAATACGACATATATAGATTCAAAATTAAACCGTTAAAACATCATAATTTACATTAAAATTATTATATTAACATCATAATATTTTTAATATATTATCAAAACACTAATATATAAATTTATATCATAATAAATATAATTAATTGTATATAATTTTTATCAATAAAATACCTACGCATAGCGTGGGAGCAAAAACTAGTTTAATTAAAAACTTGAAACATACATAGTTAAAGTCTCACATCAATATCTAAATGAAGAGGCCTATAATTTTTCTTCAATATAAGTAGCAACATCAATTAAAATCTTTTTGAGCTTAAAAACTATCGTTTAAATAAAATTTGGATTTGACCAGATCCATCGGTTCGCAAAATTTTAATTGGTTTTTTTCCAAATTTATCTGGTTTTTTAAAGTTCAACTGGATTGTCAGCCGGTACTTTACATAACCTTCTGATTTGTGGCTAAACGACTCGATTATGTGAGTTTGGTAAATAATTTTCTAGAAAAAAAGGAAGAAAACTTATGTTTTAGAATTTTTAGAGTTTTGATTATTATTATTATTTTTTGTGTAGGTTTGAGACGATATTTTTATACTAATTTTTTTATAAAGATCATTTTTTTTAATTCGCTACAGATCTAAGCACGACACTGTATGCCAATTGATATCTGATAAGGATTTTGGTGAAGTGAAGCATTTCAAGGCTTCATTGGCTCGTGTAGTTCTGTTTTAGTGTTGGTGATTTGGTTCTAGGATTTGTTGGATGAGCCAAGCATGTTTCCATTGTCGAAGAAGAAAGTTTTTGAATGTGGGTTATGCTAACTACGTAGAGTGAAGGCTTTGTCTTTGGACTACCAGTGAATCAGCTTACAATTTGCGTAGTTGGCTATTTACCTAGACTTTCAAATTTGTTAATCTTTTTCATGGTTTCTCTATTCTTCGGGATATCAAGATCAATAATCAATATCGCTACTTCTCGTCACTGTAAGGTTGATCCCTAGCTGGATTGATTTTGCTTCTATGCTTTTTTTTTTGTTTTTTGGTTTTTTTTTTGCATGACACCAGTAGACGTAGGTTTAAACAATCTACTAAGTAACTTGTAAAACCCAACCTTTTCATTTCTGATCATATTTACATTCTTATCTTATACAAAAATTCCTAGGAAAATATCATTTCAAAAGATCGAAGATTTTAGATTTTTGTAATATACTTCAACTTCCTAAAACTTATCTTACAACAGTTCAAAATTTATCAAAAGAAAATACAAAACAATGTGTAAATATTTTCATCAACAAAAAACACTATATTATCATAAACCATCAGTTATACTATCTTGAGATATGAAGAGATTTTTACAAATGTTACAGCCAAGGATACCATATATAAGGAAGATCTATCTGTTTCATCATTATCATATCTTCATCCTACATGATAAATGATAATTTTACCATCAACTTCAAATAAAACGTATATGCTTCACGTCTACTATTGAAAATTTGGAAAGTAACACACGAGAACAATGGACGGCTCTACTTACAATAGTCTATAATATCACATTGCATACATAATCAGCAAAAACTGCAAACATTTTAAAGCAAAACCAAACTTAGTTTCTAACTATCAACTGATATAACTACTGGACGGAGCTTCCTCAATGTTCTATATTTCATTTTTGTTGTAACAAAAGATTTTTTTTATATGAAAAGAAACACAAATGAATCTATAGTTATATTGCGGTTTAAAAAAAAACACAATCTAACTGTTAAAAAAAGATTCAGATTTTATTCTAGTAATTAAATGTAAAACTAAGAGAAGGAATTAATTAAGAATTCATTCGTGGTATATAGAAAATTCAAAAATAATCTTTGAAAGAATAAATAAAAACAAAAAAAATTCAAAAAAAGTAACCTCGTCTTTCCTTCTCATTCATAATCACACGATCAAAAATCAGCTCACACTAGTCAGACTGAAGCAAGTTGCCGCACTCCTCAACTCGTTCTCTCCAATTTCACCTATCGGTTCCTTCAGCGATTCACCGGAGCTGCAATTACCAAATAATATGATTCAAAACACTCCCCCAATTATCAGATTTTTTAAATGAGAATAACACAGAAACGTGCACAAAAAGAAAGAAAGAAAAAAACACATACCTTGAGGCGTAAGCTTCTTTGGAATCCGCAAATGATTGCCTGTCATCGATGATGTCGAGGAACTGATGGATTTCATCGTATTCGTGAACATCATCTCCTTCTCCCTCTTGCTGATTCGATACCATTTGAAGATTAACGAGCTGTGACTGTATGGCCATCACACCGTTATTGCTCTTGATCTCGTTACAGCTCTCGTTTTGATTGATGAATCCACTGTTATGATAAGGAAATCCATTCTGACCCCAAGCCAATGAAGTATTGGTGAGAATCTCCTTAGAATTTGTATACGTAGCAGAAGGGCTATACCCATTGTTATTGTTATTAGCCTCATAAGTGTAAGGGTGTTGCTGTGTTTCAGAAACGTTTAAAGGACTAAAGAATGATGTACTTGGATTATTGTTAATGGGAAGTCCCATTCCTAAGTCGAGCTGTGATGTAATATCCTCTTGCTTTTCACCAATCTCATGAATCATTTGGTTATGATGATGATTTTGACCATTATTGTTGTTGTTTTGTTGGTTGCGGTAGAGGTGTAATTGTGAATTGACAGCTTTGAGTTCTTCCTCGGCCAGCCAGATCATGTATTGAAGATGTTGTGTGATACCTAGACAACCATGGACAGGGTTACGGTCACGGACATAAGACTGAAATATGATTGATTTCATGGCTTCAGGTTTCTGAGCTTCATCGAGATTCTCGAGGATCTTCACGATGCCTTTAACGCCAAACAGTCTGTGAACGTTTTGGAACAGTTTTGGTTGTTCTGCTGGGAAATACGGGGCGAGTGGGCAGTCGGCTGCGCAGCGTCTGCGCTGGTACTTGCATGCGGCACAAGCTCCATTCGTGCCGCCTTTGAGAGTCATGAAAAGGATGAAAGTGATCCAGAGAAGATCCAAAAACCTCTTTAGTGACCCAATGGGATTGTGGATGGTTTTTATTTGGCTCATTCGATGGTGAAGAAATCGAAAAAAAAAAAGAGATTGGAGAAAAAGAAAGAGAGCAAAGGTTGAGGATTTTGAAAGAGATGATAGTCTGTGTGTGTTTTAATGGTTTTTGGGTAAATGAGAAATGAAGAAGGAGAAGGGGTCTGGTATATAATGCGGATTTTGCTGAGTGTGGAAAGACTAAGCAATCAAATTAAAAAAATGTTGAAACCGAATCATCAGGGACTGTTTTTCTTTTTTAGATTTTTAATTCGATTTTGAGTTCGTTTATCTTTTCTAAGAATAGAGTTACAATGGACAGATGTTTTCTTTTACTTAGTGGAATCTTATTTGTTTCGATATTGTATATAGATAGAATTTAAGTTTGAAATATGGATTAGATTTGTTTAATTTGAATCACAATAATTTTGTACTAAGTTAAAATTAAACGAAAAAATTCCATGAAGTTATTTAAGTTTTGAATTAGACAGTTTTCTCAATCATATTTAGTTGAAGAAAAATTAAATTCAAGTCGAACCAATTTACTTGGATATTCTTTCAATTAAACAGATTTTTTTTGGCTTTTTATGTTTTATTTTAGTTTATTTGAGTTTTTATAATAAACTCATCATAAGAATCATTTTCAAAATCGTATTCATAATTTGAAAATAATAGTGCACGTTTAACAACTAGATAACTAAGAGACCATTTTTAAGTTTTCAGGCATTACAACAAATATATAGATACGTATGCCAATTCTATTCAAATGGCCGAATTTTTCATTTTTATTCTTTTGGAAAGCTAGATTAATACGAACATATAAATCCTTATTGTGAAAATGATATAGCCAAGAAAATTACCCTGACATCTAAAGAAAACATAAATAAAATCTCATAAATAGAAATTAAAAAAAATTACTAGCTATTAATCATCTTAATAATATATTATTAATATTAGAAACTAGTAGTAATAGAAATACGGAAATATTAAGTAATTAAGTGTACTGAAAATGATATAGCCAAGAAAATTACCCTGACATATCCTAAGACCTCTAATACTAATCTGAAGACAAAATCTTCTTCCCCAATCTCTTACAACCACTGATATTTCCCACTTAACCCAAAAAATGTAATTGTGATGAGTAAAATCTCATTCATTTCTCTCGAGTTTTCTATTCTAAAACAAAAAAGTACTTACTTCCTTTGCAGTTTGTACTTGGGAAATCTCCTAAACTGTACTTGCTCTGTTTTTTTCTTCTTTTTGATTTTAACGTTTCTCGTAGAGAAGAACCTGTGGTTGCAAGTGTCCTCTCTCACACATCGAAAGTACATCATTCCAGCTACCGATCACCTGAAGATATCAAATAAATTGTGTGGGAAGAGTGTATCCGCATGCAAAGTCAAAGTGTATTTCAATAGTCTTCTTATTACCTTCACGGTTTTGTCATCGTACATGATCCATCGATCCTGTTCATGACTATATGCAAAGCAGTGATAATGCTGTCCATAATAGCAAACCTGGAGATGCAGAGAAATAGCAAAAGACCAACTTAAAGTTATAAAAGTCCAAAAGTTCGAAGAAGAAACACAGGGAAGAAATTGAGACACGTACCACGGAAGCTAAGGTATATGTGCTCTTAGGGTCCAGACCTCGGTAAATATTGCTGATGTCTATCACGGTATTCAAGGCTGCAAGAGTAGCTGCTATGTCTTCTACATTCTCACATGTGTTTTGCCACCCTAAAACTGCCAGTCCCAATATAAAAAGAGCATCAGACACAAATATGAGTGATCTAAACAAAAGGTTTACAATCATCAGACTCCTAACAAGGGTTTTACCTGTAGTAAAAACATGTGGTGGAGTGGTGAGAATATGGTGTATATGGTTGGGTTTCCCACAACCACCAGCGTCAGGATCACAGGCTAATTGATGGTTCATCTCCACAAGATTTAGAAGTTCGTCGAATGAATTCTCAGCGAATGTGACCTATTAGGCATAAAGTGGGGGCAAAACACAGTGAATTACCAATTAATTACGTGAAACTCAAGTCTAATGAACACTCGTATAATACCTTCATTGTCCGCAGGGCACTAGCGTTGATATTATGGAAAAACGAAGTGTACTTCATATGCCTGGACTCCAGACCACAACTGTTGCAATTCAGTTGCTCAAAAATATCCATTCCAAACAGAGAATGGGCAATACATGTGCGGTTGGCACAGTCCCATGAACCCGTACAGTTGCTCTCCAAAGATTCTGCGTCAGACACGCTCGAGCTCTGAGCAAATGCGCGATGAAGGCAGTCGAAAATCACAGCCAATACCTCTGAAGCATCGTTCATCTGAGCCTGTCCACCATATGACGCCCATGTTTAGGCTACTTGATATGAACAAAAGCTTACTCTGTATTAGGATAAAAATTTCAAACCAGATATCATTTCCTGTACCTCTTGGAAGAAACTGCTATCTGGATACAATTTACTCAAAGCAATCCTTAGAGATGACGGAGCCACAGGTTCTTTTTGTGTTTCGCTCGAAGCACCGTTTAAAGCAGTAAAAATTTCATACAATGAGCAGACAACACAAGGATCTCCCACGTGATGGTGCTCTAGTGTTGAACTCCGCAAGAACTCAGCCCGAAACATCTCCAGATTCCATAAAGACTTAGATCAAAGAGAAAAAAAAAAGCAGTCAGCAAATAAAAATCTTTTAAGCTTGATATTATAGAATTGATACTCAAGAAATCAAACCAGTTTATGAGAACGAAGGCTACCTGTATGATAACATTCAGAAAGCAGTTGTATTCACCAACTTCATTCTGAAGACCTGTGCCAAATATGGCAACTCCAGTCGAGCTCTGAGACTCCTTTGTGACATCAGATAAAAGCCCATCATTGTTTACTTCGACAGATGTCCTCAAACCTGACGTCATATATCTACCTCCTTGGTACGCATCTGGGTTGAAACAAAGTATTCCGGTGTCAGGAGCTTCATATCAGGGGTTTTTATCACCCCAAAATGTCACACAACAAATATGAGAAAAAAAAAAAAAAAAAAAAAAAAAAGTAGCACCTGTTGGCATAAGTAAAACATGAGACAAAAGTAGTTTAAGACATCTAAAATAAATATTCATGCAAGAATCAGGTAATAGAATGAGTCCTAAGATGGAGAGTAGTATAATCTTCTCATAAGGACATTGTCAGTAAAACAATAATCACGAACCGAGCCCTAAGCAACCAATCGCAAAAGTTGACTGTGAGATATAAATAAGGATGGTTGAAAAACTACCAAGGCTTTGACGCACTGCCTTTTTAAGGTCAGCTTGAAACCGTTCTTCTTCATCCTCTTCAGCTTGTAATTGTCTTAATGTCTTTGTTCCCGCATCTACATCACCAGGATAAGATATTGAATGCAATGAATAATGTTTGAAAACAGTTGCTCAATAATATTGTAAATACTGTCATTCATAGTAGACAGAAAAGCCAAATCAGGATACATTAGTTACAGAGGCATATGTTATGATTTTCTAACTGTGAAATTTTTGCCAGGCAAAACATTTTGATTCATGCCTTAATTGGTCATTTGCCAAGCGTATCTGATATTCAAGTTAAGAAAATCAATAAGCTGAGGAAAACAAATCTAGATCCAAATCAGACATCTCTACATCACAGCTATCAATACTTCGAAAAGATGAGACAAAGAAAAAGATAGATAAAAAGACTTACCACCATTGCTAAGTAGACATTCAGATTGTCTCTCACCGTCGGTGCTCTCAGAAGGTGCACCAATTAACTTGTTAGAAGCTTTGTGGCGTCTACCCCTCCTCCCGGTGCGCTGATCAGATTGGAAAACGCCAGCTTGAGTAGCTACCCCATTAGCCACTACTGCAACACAAAAAAAACCATAGCGACTCAGAAAGGCCACTACAGACATATATTCAAATTCGAAGACCAGTAGACAAATCTTATCAGATTAGAAGACCAGCGGCAACCTTTTGGGGATTTAACATGCTGCACCTTTGCAGAGTCAGTTATTGGACAATGATTTGTTGACGGCAAAACATCACTTGTATTCACTTTGGTTCTGTCCAAGTTATCAGGTAGTCCATTCCTTTGGATCCAGTTATCCTGGGAAAACAAATAAAAACAAAAATAAATGTCAAGTGATATTCAGAAAAAAATAAAATACTATAAAAACTTTTAAACCTTGTCACTATGGACAGGATTGGTTACCTGACTTACGGATTCTTCTTGATTTTGTAAATCTAAATCATCAACGACATTTTCTTTGCAATCATCATACACTGCCTCTGAAACATTCATTGGAACTAAAGAGTTGTATTTCTTTTGTTGTTCAGCACTGTGCTTCTCCTTAGCTTCATTCTCAATTCTTCTTTGATACTCTAGAGTTGTTTCAAGCTTCCTCTCCTCTTCCTCTAGCTCCATTCGGCGTCTGCATTCCTCTTCCTGTTTTTTCAAAGCTTCAACAGATTCAGGAACAACGTCAGCCTCTGAATGATCACCACATGATGAAACCGGAGGGAGGCTGGAACAAGATATCATCAAGATCAAAGACAGGTCATTCACCACCACATTTTCATAATGAAAGGTATTCATGAGGAGCTAATTTTTTTGTAAAGAGCAGATCTTCACCTGTGTTCAATCGAATCAACATTGCAGCGATGATCATTTCCAATAGAAGCCTGAAGCAAAACGATAAAGCTAGTTAAAAATATAGAGAAGAAATAGTTAATCCTTTGTTCAAACAAAAAATTTGTTCAGACCTTTAAATCCTTCAGTTTCTTGGTGTCTTTAATCTTTTTCTTATCCTTGGACTTTTCCTTCGAGTGTTTTGAATTATCGTTTCTTCGGCCAGCATCCTTGGAATCAAGAGCAAGCTCAACAAGAAATGCTTCTCTCGCAGCGTCCGACTTCTCAGTGGCATCTTTCTCTGCCAATGCCTCCAAATGTGCCTGGAGAGATTAATAAAGAAATGCCAATTAGAACCTGAAAGAACACTGTAATCAAGGTCCAATGAGTTAGATACTTACCCACATGTAGGACTTCACCAACGGTAACAGAACTAGCAGATAATCATTGGAGGATACAGCTCCTAGCTTTAGCTCTAACTGCTGCATCCCAGTAACATTGCGCATAATTTGCGCGTCGATTCTGCTAAGCTGTTATAGCACACATACATAGTATTTGTTTAGGACAAATGTCTATCCCAGTAGTGTTGCGTAAAGATAGAAAAGGTTACCTCTGCAGACAACTGCTCTTTTTGTTTCTGGATTGCAATCTCTATGAAACTGTCAGCCTCATTTAGGGAATCCTTCATCCCCCATTCATCAGCTTCGCCAGATTCTAGATCACGTAGATAAGAACTCGTGCCAGCACATTCATATCCAAATTGGTTGTGGTTAAGAGATTCTGCATCTTTCAAAACATTTGTTATAGCGTCTAACTCAAATCTACTACTGATAAACACCAACTCAAGGTCATTCTCATTTAGCTCTTCTCTTCGTCTTCTCAGCACAGATTCATAGCTTTCATGGGTAAACTCTGCTGAAGTCTCCCTCTTTCGGCTTTCGTCAAGACAAAGGTCCTCAACAGTCTGCAATGCTCCCTCGTAGCTTAAGTGCTCGGATTTTCTCTCGCAGAGGTTCTGCAAGTGACAGAACTCCTTCTCAAGAATCTGCATGATCTCCAGTCCTTCATTTGTTTTATCTTCCTTTGTACGCATCCATGACACAATTTGTTCCTCGCTAGAGGGTCCTGTGAAGATCCACGAAAGAAATCCATCCGCACCAGAAGACACTTTATTTCCATTAGCAATATTTCCAGTACTTGCTATAGCTCCATTATTCACTGCTGAGCTCATATACTTCTCTTGGATACACTCAGTGCCAAGCAAATTTTCATCCAGAAGAAGACATGAATTTTCACCATCAAGAAGAATCTCGTCTGTAACTTCAAGACCCCGGTCGCCAACATTAACTTCATCGTTTGGGTTACTTTGTTCAGAATATCGACTCAATCCACAGGCCTGTGACAAGTCTTGAAGGAATTTGAGAATTTTGCTGAGCTGGTTAGCTCCCAAAAAGAAGATGCATATGGGTGACTGACCCAAACCACGATTTAAGAACTGCGAAACCAAGGGCACATTCCGGAGTTCATCCAACGTAAATTGTATCACCTTATCATGATGGCTAACAGCTAAATATTTGTGTCTAATAAGTAGCTCAAAGGCTGCACGGATTTTTTTAAGGAGCTTTGCACGTTCAATGTCATCAGATATCGGCCATCCATCAGGAAGATGAAATGAAACTGACAGCTTACCGTTGCAAGTATCTTCAAGATTCTCTTTCTCAGGTGAAGTATCAATATCATTCCATGCATCCTTGAAGCAGTCGTCACCATCGTCCATATTGTCTCCAGAGTGAAATTCACTAGACTCAGAGTTTTGGATTTTCTGGTGACTGCAAAGCAATTTCACCGCAGCAGAGAGATCCAATGGTTTCCATGGGGAACTAAGAAGAATCTCGATCCTCTCACTGTCGAGACTTTCTGGCAAAACCATTTGCATCTTAGGTAACACGTTACCCATATGCTCCTGCACAATATGCTGCATATGAGACTCAGAATCCATGAATTTTTCGCTGCAACGGCAGCAAACCCAGAACCTCCAAGTCTTATTGGCCTCACAAAAGGACATAGCTTCACTTATAACCTCATTTGCATTGCCATCCTTTGATGCACTAAAGTGACTCTTAAGATCACTAACCTTAACTCTAAGCAACTCTTTCTTCATTTCTATGCTCATAGAATCCCAATATGACCTAACCCGATCCCTTCTCTCTGCTGTGGAGCCGTTTTTCCTTGCATTTCCATGCTTTCTCCTCTCCCCGCTTCTTTGTCCTGCGCCTAATGCTGGATCTGCTCCCTTGTTGTTTACAGTTCCTACAATATCCGACGAGGAAGATTCTGACTTCTGTTGCTGAACTAACTTAGCTGCAGCTACCCTCACTTCAATCTCTTTTCTCTTCTCTTCAAGAGTCTTGGTAGCTTTCTTAATCTCATTCGGCCTCCTGGTCTGAATCAAGGTACTCTCAATAGGATCCTCAACCATCCTCCTAATGGGTATCAACCGAAACTTCTCTTCACCATTTCCCAGGTTTTTCATCCAAGTGGAAATGGAACCAAGATTAGATTTCTGTATCAGTGACGTGAGCTCATCCTGAACGTTTGCAATACGACCCTCTGGTGTCAATATCTTCTGCTGATTCTCATCCTGAAGACTCTCTTTCGCAGGATCAATGGGGTTTTCAATCGAGAGAGCTCGTTGGCACTCTTGCAAAACCTCATCAAACTCTATCGACTCTCTCCCATCGTTTGCAGCCTCGAAAAGCAAATTCGCGTAAAAATGCCCAAACTCAATAGAGTTGGGAGACAGCTCCACAGCTTTTCTAGCAGATTCAATCGCATTACGCAGATGCTTCTGCTTCGTAGCTGGATCCTCGAAGACGGAAGCAACCTTGACGTACAGAGTCCCCTGAACACGGTGGATTAGGGCAGAGTCTCGGTGGCGAGAGCATGCTTCCTTCATGAGCCGAATCGCCTTGTTGTAGCTCCCTCGCTGGAATGACAACAGCGCCTTCTCGCACTCGAGCTTGACCTCGGCTGAGACGACCGGCTCGGCATTAGCGGCCGGTCCAGAAAATCCGCCCTCATTGAAGCTACAAGAGGAAATCTCAGACGACGGCGCAGCCTCTACCGCCGCAGAAGACGGCGATTGTTTGGAGCGAGACGCGAGGGTTTTCTTCTTCTGACCCATCCACGATTCAGCTCAAAACTAATTTAATCGGCATGAAGGATACACAGAGAGATATTGTATACGGTCCGCCAAATGCTCAAAAGATGGTCAAATCGGGAATTTTCCGGCACCGTATTACGGCGGAGGACTGAAGGAGAGAGTTGGTGAGACGGGAAGAGATAGAGAGTAGAAGAAGAGTCGTTGTGGTCTCTGTGTGCAATTCGATGGCGGAGGAGAAATTTACATAGCGAGATTATGCAGTGGTCACTATATTTATTTATTTATTTATTTATTTATCGACCCTACACTACTGTTCTCTTTAGTCTGTGTACTAGTGTTTTTTTTGTTCAATTATTTATTCAAAATTTGCTACACTTTCGAACATTACCTCTGCATTTAGCAAAAAAAAAAGTGACTTATTTTTGCCACTTTATCTCATTTTCATTTGGTTTTGATAGAACATGATAGATCTGACAACAAAAAATGCATTCCGAACAATAAAATTATAAGAGTTTAAAATTTTATTCCAATTTTCCGATTTTTATTCGAATTTGGATATAATCTTTGGCGATGATACAAATCGAAGCTTTAGAAAACATGACATAGTTATGTTTCTATCTTCAAAGATAAAAAAAGTTACACTTTTAATTTTGAAGAATTTACTAGCATATTAAATCGTCAAACTAATTTTAAACTTTTCACCCGCGAACATAACAGAATAAATAAACCGTTATAACCGTTATTTTTTTATTAATTACGGAATAGTTAATATTCGTTTCTTTGGATCTTTTCATATTTTAAAATGTAATTTTTCCTAACAAAATTAATCTAATCCAAAAAAGGACATACTATTATGATAGATCTCACAACAAACATACTATTTCAAACAAAAAATTATAAGAATTTGAAGTTTTGTTACAATTTTCCGATTTTTATTCCAATTTAAGTATAATCATTGACGATGACACAAATCTAAGTTTTAGAAAACATGACATAACATAGTTTTTCTGAGAGATTTAGTTTAATAATTTAATTTTTAGTAATAATTTTTAAAGTAATAAACGTTAAATTTTCATAAAGTTTGAAAATAGAATAGATAAACCATCAACCATTGTTAATCCGAATGAGCTCCAAAACTAGCACAAGTTGTATTGCTTTCGTTGTGGCTTCAAATAGCATCGAAAGCATAAAATACATAAAAAAAATCGGAAAAATCATATTTTAAATTTTCAAAAAATGAAAAAGGTTACATTTTAAACTTAGAGGGAATTACACTAATACTTTAAACTGTTAAACTAATTTCTGTAACATCTTAAATTTTCAAATTAGGTAATCTTTTTTGCCGCCACAAAAATAAGAGGTAACGAAATAATTAATATCCGTTAAATTTTTTTAGTTACAAAATAGTTAATATCCGCTTTTTATTTACAAAAAAGTTACATTTTAAATTTTGAGAGAATTACACTAATAATTTAAACCGTCAAACTAATTTCTGTAACATTTTCAATTTTTAAATTGGGTAATATTCTTTTGCCGCCACAAAGATAACGGCACACGCCATAACGAAATAATTAATATCTGTTATTTTTTTTTCTTAGTTACAGAATAGTTAATATCCATTTTTTAGTTACAAGAAGGTTAACTTTAAACTTCAAGGGAATTGCACTAATACTTTACACCGTCAAATTAATTTCTGTAATATCTTAAATTTTCAAATTAGGTAATATTTTTTGCCGCCACAAAGGTAACGGCACACACCGTAACTTATCTTAGTTATAGAACAGTTAATATCTATCTTTTTAGTTACAAAAAGGTTACACTTTAAACTTTGAGGGAATTATACTCATATTTTAAACCGTCAAACTTATTTCTGTAACATCTTCAATTTTCAAATTAGGTAATATTTTTTGCCACCACAAAGGTAACAGCACTCACGGTAACGAAATAATTAATATCCGTTTATTTTTCCTTAGTTACAGAATAGTTAATTTCCATTTTTTTTAGTTACAAAATGGTTACATTTAAACTTCAAAGAAATTACACTAATATTTTAAACCGTCAAACTAATTTTTATAATATTTTAAATTTTTAAATTGAGATATTTCTTGCCGCCACAAAGGTAACGGCACACACCGTAACAAAATAATAAATATCCATTATTTTTTTCTTAAATTACAGAAAGTTAATATCTGCTTTTTTTAATCTACGAAGGTTTAAAATGCGATTTTTTCCAACAAAATCAATCTAATTTGAAAAATGACATAATCAAAATGCGAATTTTCCCAACAAAATCAATCTAATCCGAAAATTGACATAGTCAATAACATTCTATTAGTTGCCCACATAAAAAGATTTGATGTACTTGCGAAAATCACCTCAGTTACGCAAGCCTATTAGTGCTTGTTGGTGACTTGGTGTTATCCGGGGACAGGTGTTACACTCTTCACTATCTAAACAAATTTGATCGTGTTCGTAGAATCGTGAAGATTAATGGCAATTTAGAATGATGCATTCAAACTTAGGCTTTTCCCTTTTCTTTCTAAGGGATAAAGTTCACGAATGGCACAAGAACTTGCCACTTGAAACCATAAAATCTTGAGACACATGCAAGGAAGAGTTCTTAAAGAAGTCTTTCTCTAAGTCAAGGACCATGCGTTTGAGGTAGTTTCAAGCAACGAGAGTTTTTATGTCTTAGAAGAGCTTGCCCTCACCATGGTTAAGGATTCTAGCATTTCTGAAACGGGAAGCAAGGTCGAACCATGGTGCCAAAAGTAGCAAGCTAAGTGGTCACACCACCTGCCCTAAAGCTTCAAGCTTCTAAATACAATTGAACTGAAGTTACTGCACCTTAAAATATACATAAAAACTAGAAAAATAGAAATTGAAAGACAAAAAACAAATGCATAGATTTTAAACATAGTAAATTTAATTTTTTTTTTTTATTGGATGAAAGTTTTTGCAGCTTTTCTCCTAAATTTTAACTTCTATTTTGCTAGTAGTTAAGATATGATCAATAGAGAAGAGCGGACAAGAAAAGAAAAAAAAAGGCTACAAAGATTTTATATGAACATATAATCTTAAATGTGACAATGATTTAACCAAGAAAACTACAATAGATCTTCAAAGACCTCCTGCACTGAAAACACCTTAGCTTAATCTTAAGACAAAATCTTCTTCCCCATCATCTAAGAACCACTGACCAGTAATCACATTCCTTCCTCTCGTGTTTTCTCTCTGATTGTCAAAAAAAGTACTTACTTCCTTTGTAGTATGTACTTGGGAGATCTCGTAAACTGTAGCAACAAATCTTTACTTAGCTCTACTTTTTTTTCTTCTTTTTTTCTTCTTTTTGATTTTAACGTTTCTCGTAGAGAAGAACCTGTGGTTGCAAGTGTCCTCTCTCACACATCAAAAGTACATCATTCCAGCTACCAATCACCTGAAGATATCAAATAAATTGTGTGGGAATAGTGTATTTGCCTGCTAAGTCTAAGTGTATTTCAAATAGTCTTATTACCTTCACGGTTTTGTCATCGTACATGATCCATCGATCGTGTTCGTGACTAAATGCAAAGCAATGATAATGCTGTCCATAATAGCAAACCTGGAGTTGCAGAGAAATAGCAAAAGACCAACTTAAAGTTATAAAAGTCCAGAAGTTCGAAGAAGAAACACAGGAGAGAAACTGAAAGACGTACCACGGAAGCTAAGGTATATGTGCTCATAGGGTCCAGACCTCGGTACATGTTGCTGATATCTATCTCGGTATTCAAGGCTGCAAGAGTAGCTGCTATGTCTTCTACATTCTCACATGTGTTTTGCCACCCTAAAACTGCCAGTCCCAGTATAAAAAGAGCATAAGATACAAATATGAGTGATTTAAACAAAGGTTTGCATTCATCAGACTCCTAAAACAAGGTTTTTACCTGTAGTAAAAACATGTGGAGGAGTAGTGAGAATATGGTGTATATGGTTGGGTTTCCCACAACCACCAGCGTCAGGATCACAGGCTAATTGATGGTTCATCTCGACAAGATTTAGAAGTTCGTCGAATGAATTCTCAGCGAATGTGACCTATTAGGCATAAAGTGGGGGCAAAACACAGTGAATTACCAATTAATTACGTGAAACTCAAGTCTAATGAACACTCGTATAATACCTTCATTGTCCGCAGGGCACTAGCGTTGATATTATGGAAAAACGAAGTGTACTTCATATGCCTGGACTCCAGACCACAACTGTTGCAATTCAGTTGCTCAGAAATATCCATTCCAAACAGAGAATGTGCAATACAAGTGCGGTTGGCACAGTCCCATGAACCCGTAAAGTTGCTCTCCAAAGATTCTGCGTCAGACACGCTCGAGCTCTGAGCAAATGAGCAATGAAGGCAGTCGAAAATCACAGCCAATACCTCTGAAGCATCGTTCATCTGAGCCTGTCCACCATATGACGCTCATGTTTAGGCTACTTGATATAAAGAAAAGCTTACTCTGTATTAGAATAAACATTTAAAACCAGAGATCAATTCCTTTACCTCTTGGAAGAAACTGCTATCTGGATACAATTTACTTAAAGCAATCCTGAGAGATGACGGAGCCACGGGTTCTTTTTGTGTTTCACTCGAAGCAGCGTTTAAAGCAGTAAAAATTTCATACAATGAGCAGACAACACAAGGATCTCCCACGTGATGGTGCTCTAGTGTTGAACTCCGCAAGAACTCAGCCCGAAACATCTCCAGATTCCATAAAGACTTGGATCAAAGAGAAAAAAAAGCAGCAGCAAATAGAAATCTTTTAAGCTGGATATTATAGAAATTGATACACGAGAAATCAACCAGTCTATGAGAATGAAGGCTACCTGTATGATAACATTCAAAAAGCAGTTGTATTCACCAACTTCATTCTGAAGACCTGTGCCAAATATGGCAACTCCAGTCGAGCTCTGAGACTCCGTTGTGACATCAGATAAAACCCCATCATTGTTTACTTCGACAGGTGTCCTCAAACCTGACGTCATATTTCTACCTCCTTGATACGCATCTGGGTTGAAAGTTGAAACAAAATATTCCGGTGTCAGATGCTTCATATCATGGGGTTTTATCACCCCAAAGTGTCACACAAAACAAATATGAGAAATTGAAAACAAAAGTAGCAGCTGTTAGCATAAGTAAATCTTGAGACAAAAGTAGTTTAAGAAATCTAAATTCTAAAATAAATATTCA